AAAGCCCACTATCGCTCCTACTTCACGTGCTAGCTGACTAATTCTATGGTCACAGACTCCGCAGAATACTTCTCTGGTTATGTTTTCTATCGCGTGTGAAATAGGGACATCAAATGTGCGATTGGCTGTTGAAGTTCTGTTTGTTGAGTAATCCACCGGGCTGATCGACATCAATAGACGCTAGCCTGATGCACACTATCAACAAGTAACTTCAACCTTTGCATATTTGGAACAAAATACCGCAGATGAGGACAGACAGTTCAGAATGGACAAACATACGGTCTCGGCAAAGTAAGATACCTGGTGGATGCCCAAGCCCACAACGACCATTACGATGGTTTGAGAGTTAACGGTCGAGGGATCAACTTGCCGGTTGTCCGTCTAGTCCAACGATGAGAGCACACATATGGAAACCGAGCGAGTAAGGTCTTCCTCAGGACATTCAGAACAACATCACAAGACCTGCCCTCACACCATCTCAAGTTATCTAGCAAAAGACCGATCACGGAGGCATTGCGACCTGGGAGTCTCCAGTGTCAAGAAGTTGGCTGCACTCATGCGCGATCAACATGTCAAAGACTCGATCTGCTTGCGGTCCACAGCGAACTGTCAAGCTTGCATAGGAGATCAATAGTTCGTATTTCCCCAGACGATCGTGAGCGGGGGTGATATACAGGAGTTCCCAATGTGCGTCGGAATGGCCCTTCAATCAGCGGAGTGTCAACGGAGAATACGAACGTGGGCCAATTCCACAATACCCCGGATATTGAAGTCAAGAATTGTTCGGTAGGAAGATCTAGTGAAGTCTTGTTCATCTGCGCTCGAAAGAAGAGTCCCGAGAGTCATGGTTCAGAGAAAGCAACAAGATGCAGACAACAGCGAGATGCCCGGACCGACAACGAACAATGCGTTCTGCGTTATCGGAACAACAAACGCTCTTGATTTTCGCGAAAGCTATTCGTACCATGAATCGCCTGACTTGCATGACGAAGGAATGTCAATGGAGCCGATACACGATCCAAGAAACTAACAGCTTAGATCAAGCTGGAGGGTAAACAATGTGTTGAGAGTCCACCTTGATGTTTGCAGCCACCATGTAAAGCACCATGCGACCGAATCACAGCAATCAATTCATTCTCGCTCAACAAGTACAAGCCTGACTCAAAAGTTATCCAGACTCTGTTTAGAAGGTCAAGTGGAGAAGACACTACAATGCAAAGCTTGTATTGTTGAACGACCGGACAACCGTTCAGAACTTGGCATAGTGGTTTCTGACGGCGCATTGAACGGCGCCTGTGACGGTTCTACGAGGCGTACATAACGGAAGAATGTGATTATGTACAAGATCGGCCAGAACCGGCGGGCAGGTAACTCAGAGGCTGGTGGAGCGTTAGCTCTATCTCAACCGAGATTTACTTTCTAGAATGGCGACCAGAAACATGGAAGAGGCGAAAGAAACGTGGAATATGTCATAAACGGTCGTGTCAGTTGTGATGGTGTGGTGAATGCCGGTCGGAAACAGCTTTCTATTCTGGTTAACGAAGCCGCAGAGTTTCAGGCTTTGAATCAGAGGCTTTTCTCTTCGAGTCAAAGAGAAAGTCAAAGATGAATGGGATCTGTCAAGTGCCATGTGGTTGCTGGTGCCTCTGCCGCGGTCAAAGTCTTGAAAGGGTCTCGCAGTCCGCCCTACAAGCTTCAGCCACAAGTTCTCGAGCCAATAGCGTTCAAGTCGAGAGTTTTGCTCTTTGTTCTGCGCAATACTTTCTGGATTTGTGTAGGTGCAGAAACTCTGTGTGAGTGGGTTTTTCTGTTAAAGCCGGGCGAGAAAAAGCCCGAAAATCTGGAAAGCCGCTAAAGTGCTTCTTCTAAGAGGAGTGAAAAAAAATCTTGTTCTGGCCCCCATCACCAAAAACTCCACAACGACAAGACACAGTTTGTGCTGAAATTGTGGAAAAAAAGGTGCGCACAGTACGAATGACAAGCAAAAAAGAGCGCGGAATTTCTTGGAGAGAGTGACGAAGAAACCTTGGCTTAGTGGTTCGGCCAATTGCACAGGCAATACTTGCAGGAATAAGACCAAGATGACGAATGCAAGATGATTGCCTATGATTCGTCGTGTGCCTTGGAAGAGAGCGGTTGATGAAGCGGTAGTTATGGCCTCATCCTGACTTGACTTGAGAGGCTAGGCCTACAGTACAGTACAAGAACGCTGGTCAAATTGCCTTGTCTTACTGTGACGTGGTCAAGCCCTCAATGTTTGGTGTTTCTTGTGAACCCCTCCATCACAAAGCTGACAGGCAGGCTCCCGTCAATAGATGCCCAGATTTATTGGCATGATCGACAATTAATTAAGAAAACAGAGGAATGTTTGGCATGTTTCCTCCACAAACACGAAGAATAAATGAAACAAGCTTATCGGCTTCCCGCTGCGTGCCGTCTGTGGCATTGACTGCTCAAATGCTTGGCAATCACGATCTTCACCAGGTCCAATTCCAAGGCACTCATCGGCGAAATTATTTCAATGTAACGTCCGTCACCCAAAGACTGGCCACCCCCACAGACCGGCCACCCCG